CCTTGTTATCTCAGATTCTGTCTCTTAGCTGCTTTACCAAACATTATCATACCTGCTGGCTACATCCTCATTGAATTCACAGAGATAACTCACAATACAGAATCTCAAAAAAAAAGCCTTTTAAAAAATAATCTCACTAAGCTCCATTGATCTCTGTGGCATAGGACACATATACCGTTCCCAAATAGTAATGCAAATTAAATATCTTCTAACTCCAAAGAACAAAGAACAGTACAGTATAGGAACATGCCCTCCAGCCCACCATGACTGCGCCCACACATGATGCCTTTCTAAACTAAAATATTTTTGATCCCAAGTGGTCCATATCCCTCTATTCCCTGCCTATTCATATGTCTGTCAAGATGCCTCTTCAACGTTGCTATTGTATCCGCCTCCACCACCTCCTCTGGCAGCACATTCTAGGCACTTACTGCCCTCTGCATAAAAAACTTGCCTCTCACATTTCCTTTAAACTCACCCCCTTTTAGGTATGTGCAATGCTTTGCTTAATTCTGCAAAACTACATTAATAATGCAGCGTTTTTAGTAAAGTAAGTCCACCCTCTGTTTATGATCTTATCTTTCTAACAACTAACCTCAAGTCATCATGAACTTCTCTCCCCGTAATAAACTAAAAGTTTCTTTGAATTTGACTTACTTCAGTACCAGTTTCTCAGCCAGATGTCCTACTTTCTACAGTTTAGGCATTAATAACCAATTATATTCGAAAAAATATGAATCTGACAGGTTAGGAAGATTAGATCACATGGGATTCAGGGAAAGCTAGACAATTGGATGCAAAAGTGGCTCAACAGTGGGAGACAGAGGATGTTGGTAGAGGGTCGTGTTTTGGGCTGGAGGCCTGGGACTAGAGATGTTCCACAGGAGTTGGTGCTAGGGCTACTGCTGTTTGTCATTTATATAAACAATTTGGATGTGAATACCGGAGGCATGGTTGCTAAGTTTATGGATGGCACCAAGATTGGTAGTATAGTGGATTGTGAAGAAGGTTATCGAAGAATACAAAGGGATCTTGATCAGCTAGGCCTTGGGCCATGGAGTGGCAGATGGAGTTTAATTTGCATAATTATAAGCTATTGCATTTTGGTAAGAGAAACCAGGGCAGGAGTAGTTAATGACAGGGCCCTGGGAGTGTAGATGAACACAGACACCTAGGGGTTCAGATATATAGTTCCTTGAAAGTGGCGTCACAGGTTGGGTGGTGAAGAAGGCATTTGGCATGCTTGCCTTCATTGGTCAGAGCATTGAGTTTTGGAGTTGTGATGTCATGTTGCAGCTGTACAGGACATTGGTGAGGCTACTTTTGGAGTACTGTGTACATTTCTGGTCAACCTACTATGGGAAGGATATTATTGAATTGCAATGGGTACAGAAAAGATTTACAAGGATGTTGCTGGGACTACAGGGTTTGAGTTATAGGGAGAGCCTGGATAGGCTGGGACTTTTATCCCTGAAGGATGTCCTTACAGAGGTTTATAAAATCCTGAGGAACATAGATAAGGTGAATAGCAAAGTTTTTTCTCTCAGGTAAGGGAGTTCAAAACCAGAGGGCATAGGTTCAAGGTGAGAGGGGAAAAAGTTAAAAGGGATCTGAGGGGCAAATTTTTCACACAGTGAGTGGTGCATATATGGAATGAATGGCCAGAGGAAGTGGTAGATGCAGGTACAGTTACAATATTTAAAAGACATTTGGTTAGGTACACAAATAGGAAAGGTTCAGAGTGTTATGGGCCAAATGCAGGCAAATGGGATTAGTTTAGTTTGGGAAACCTGGTCGGCATGGACTAGTTCGACCGAAGGGTCTGTTTCCGTTCTGTATGACTCTATGAATGTTTGTCCTATTACCTAGGGTGGTTCTCACCACTCTGAGACATGGCTGAAATTACTAGTTCTGTTCTGTGCCTATCATTACAACACAGAGACTGGCAGCCAAATCAAATCAGCCTCTCTGTTCCTGAAAGATTAAAATACTCAATGATCCTCAAAATTGACCCCAATGGTTCCTGACCAGACTTTCTGAATAACCATTGCTAGGCTTTGTGAATAACTGAAATCAGACACTAGGTTTATAGCTTAAAAAAGATTTAACAATTTATTAATAAAGTAGCTTTAGCAAAGCAAAATTAATGTCTGCGATTTAAACTCAATTTTCTTTCATTCTAGCCCACATTCTCACACAAAGACAGAAACAAACAGACATGTGAAGGAAAAAAAACTAAGATGTAACTGGCCAGTTCACTTGAGCAGACTCCACGATCTGTAACATCACTGGCACATGGGATTGTATCTTGCTTAGCTGCTTACAACACCAATGTTTGCAAATGGTTCCCAGTAGGCTTCAGGGAAAATTCACTGATGACTTATAATTGAGATTCTGTTTTCCAAACTTCCAATAAGTTGATAACATGGGGATAACCAGGAAACAATCAAACCTCAACTCTGTAACTTTCACAGGCACAATCCTTCTAAATAAACCACAGTTCAAACTTTGGTTTCGCTTTGTTAAACTGATTGGCACCATAACTCCGTGGGAGACCCCCGTTGATATTCAATCATCTGTTTGAGCATACTGTTGTTCCGGAGTCAAAAAGTCTACAAAGTTCTTTGAACAAAAAAATCGAGCGGCAATCAATTTCTGGGTCTGATCTCAAAAATAAGTAGCAGTTTGTTTGGTCTCTTTTTCAAACCACAAGTTAGTGTTCAGTGTCCAAAAATCACCTTCAGCTCTCAGCTGTCCGTTCACTGTTCCAAATCAAAAATGATTTTAAAAAAAGAACAGAATAATGAAAAATTAACGAGAGTTCAGGACATTGTCTCACAGCAATCCCAGGAGGGCAACTCAAAATGTTGTAGGTGAAATGTTGGGTCCTGTAAGGACTCTGCCAGTCAATGCCCCTGAGTTGAACAGAATGATTTGAACAGTACAGCGACAGCTCTTAGCCATTCGTTTTCTTACATTGACTATTTGGCTCCACTACCATGTCTAACACACCAGGGACACAGGACCCTTTACACTTGACTCCTCCATGCCCCCGATTCCACCCTGTGTCTTCCACTGGACCTCTCCACCATGCCTCCAGTCCCACTTCAAAACTCCCCTCATCATTGACTCATTCTGGCCGATCCCCGTGCAAGAATCTATTCTCCTCTCCCTTGTGCCAGAGTTAAACTTGAAAAGTTAGTGACCTTACATGCAAATACACAAAGCCAACCATGCATGCCACCTTTAAACAATTGCAAACTGGGTACCAAAGGATTCTCAAGAGCCACCAACTCTATCTTCAAGATTACGGTAATTTCATAGGCTATGATGGCAAAGTATTTTTTGTTGTCACTGGTCTGGACAGCAACTGTTTTGAAAGGAATGGATGAAATGGGATGGAATGGATCTTATTAAAACTGCATTTTTAACTTAAAACCTTCACTTTGAGTCTCAGTGCTAGAAAGATATGTTACAATATGTAGTATGTGGAGTAATATACTATGGAATGAGGAAAATTATTTTTTACTCAGAATTGTGAGCCTTTGGAATTCTCTACCACACAGTACTGTGGAAGCTCATTTTTGAATATGTTTAAGGTGGAGATTGATAGATTTATGATTACCAGCAATGTACAGTGTTATGGGGAAAGGGTGGTTGAAAGGAATTGAAGTGTTTGATCAAGTATGATCATATTAAATGGTGATGAAGGCTCAACGGGTTGAATGGCCTTGTTCTTCTGTATCCAAGTGACAAGGGACAATGAGGAAGTGAAGAGAATTAGCATCAATAAAAAGTTTGAACTGGAGAAATTAATGTGGTTGAAAGTTGATAAATCTCCAGGACCTGAATCTACATCCCAGAGTATTGATGAAAGTAGCTATAGAAACAGCCTCTGCAGCAGTGATTATCTTCCCAAATTCTACAGATTCTGGACTGATTCCTGAGGATATAAAGTTAGCAAATGACATCGCACTAATGGAGAAGGAAGTGAGAGAGAAACAGGGAACTGCTGACCATTAGCCTGACATCAGAAGTAGGGAAAATACTAGAAACTATTATAAAGGCTGTGATAGGATCTGATTAGGTATAGTCAGCATGGATTCATGAATAAGGAATCATGTTTGACACACTAAGGTGTTTTGTTTTAAAGTTGTTACGAACAAAATTGATGAAGGAGAGCTGATGGGTTTGACTTGGTTTGATTTACTACTATCATATGTACCAAGGTATAGTGAAAAGTGTTGTCTTACGTGCTTTACAGGCAGATTGTACTATATAAGTGCATCAGTGTACTTAGATTTTCATAAGGCTTTCAATAGGGTTTGGTTAGAAAAATAACAACACACGGGATATGAGATAATGTACTGGCATGGATTAATGATTGGCTGATAAACGGAAAACAGAGTAGGAACAATGGGTCATTCGTACGTTGGCAGCTATAACTAGTGGGATACTGCAAGGATCAGTACTTGTTCCCTAGTGACTTACAACATATGTGGGTGATTTGGAGGTGAGTATTAAATATTCAAAATTTGCAGATGATACAAAGCTAAATGGGAATGGGTGCTGTACGAAAAATGTAAATAGGCATCATGAGGCTTTGGACAGGCCTAGTGAATGGGCAAGAACATGGCAGATGGAATATAGTATGGATAAAAGTGAGATTATCTGCTTTGATAGGAGGAACAGATGGGCAGCATATTTCTTAAATGGTAGGAATTGACAAGTGTTGATGCACAAAGGGACCTAGGTATCATTGTCAATTAATGTTTGAAGCCTAACATGCAGGTACAGCAAGCTATTAGGAAAGTTTTTAGAATGTTAGCCTTTATTGCAAAAGATTTTGAGTACAGGAGTAATGGAGTCTTGCTTCAATTGCATGGGAGCTTGGTTACACGGCACGTGGAGTACTGTGTGCAGTTTTGGTCTCCTTATCTCAAGAAAGATATTATTTCCACAAAAGGAGTACAGCAAAGGTTAGCCCAACTTGTCCCTGAGATGGAAGGACTGTTGTATGAAGACAGATTGAGCAAACTGGAAATGTATTCACGAGAGTTTCAAAGAAAGTGAAGTGGTGATCTCATTGAAACTTACAAAATACAGGTAGTTCTGCTATAACATGTTCGTTAACGCGAATTGGCTGTAATGCGATTGATGAATACTGGATGCTGTTTGGATAATGCAAACTTTCTACTGTACAGGTATAGTGATTGTCTGTAGCAATTTCCCTATAACGTGATTTTCTATCGCGCAATTTGCTATAACGCAAGGTTATACAAGAATGCAACTATCGCGTTATAGGAGAACTACCTGTACGTAGACAGCAATAGGGTGAGTAAAATGAATTGAGGTGTTCCATCAGCGATAACCAGATTGAATGGTCAGGCAGGCTCAACAGGCTGAATGGACTACTTCTGTTCTTATGTTCCAACTGTCTGCATTGTGATGCAGTTTAAGATTTATCAAAATTATGATAACATTGGCTTCGTAGTAATTTTAATGCCAAGTAAATCACTGTTTGAAAACATGACAACATATTTCACATATTTTGTAAATGTTACAGAAGTTTAAAAAAAAAATTCTGGCCTAGTAAAGTTTAATAACCACTTGACTACCCTTCAGTAAATGAGTAAAAGTTGGCAACTTTTTGACAATAGGATGCAGCATAGTTTAGTTACTGTTCTCATCACACAAACACCTTTCTACTTAATGAGCCAATGGATAGTAATTAGAGGATCAATTCTTGTTCCGATCAATTGTGGTAGAATTATCACTGTCTTAACTGACAGCACTTAGACGGAATAAGAAATGAATTTTATACTGTCCATAAAATGCTATGTAGAACCTAGATTTTGTTTTATTATTTTGTTTGTTTTTCCCTCACATTTCAATCTTCTCCCCATCTCTCCTGGTGCAGAATGCAATGGATCCCACTAATGTTCAAATAACCTGTTCTCCTTTGTAATTTGGACAGCGAGTATCAGAAGACTACTTGACTATTGGAGTTCAGCACACTTAAATGCAACTGCATCCTCATGTTATTTGTAGGCATTCTTACTTTACAGGAGGTCCCATTCAAGTATTCATGTGTGGATGAAATGTTTCTTCTATAATGACTTAGCAATGTCAAACTGTACTACATGTTGTGTTATGCCAGCTTTCATTAACCTGTGCACAGTATGCTACTCGTTGAAAACTTGTTCCATTTACGTATATTTTTAACTGTAGTGTTACTGTAGGCAATAGAGTCACAAAGTGATTGAACAAGCTGCAGAGCAATGCTGCAGTGCAAAATTTGACAGGCTGCAATATTCAGATTACCGACTAATATAAGCAACATTACTTCTATCACCTTTAGAAGGTTTTCCCAAAATTTGAATGAATCGCAGTAGAATTACAATGTTTATAAATAGTGTAGCTCTAAAGAGGGAAAGTAGATTTTTACGATGATTTTTTTTACACAAATCATCATTTGGAATGCATTTTAGCTCAAAACAAAAAGGACGAAACTAATGAATCTTAATGCTAAAATTAGGAAACGCATTTTACAATTTTTAATCGTATCTTGAGGTCACTGATAATTGCATTTTGTAATTCCTATTACAAATTACTTCCATTTCACAACAATTTAAAAGGAATAACCCGATTGGTCTGTCTGTTCCAGATCAATTTCAATTAATGTGCAATTCTGATTTTAAAAAGATCAATGAAGAGTGGTTGCAGGTTTTTGTCCAAAAGGAACTTAATAATATCATATTACAAGTATATGAATATGCTGCAACCTTGCTCAATCACCATTTCTAACGAAGTCTACATGTCGTTAGCAATGCAATATATTCCGTTGACATGCTCAATTTCCCCTATTTCCTCTCGCTATATACTTTTGATGCATAGTTAATATACTTAAATTAACTTCTTGCTTACCTATTTGACATGATGGCTGGAGTGTGGTTTCTGATTGCTTGGACTTCCCTTGAGCTTAATGGGGTGGTTGGTTTTACAGACTTGTTGATTTCATCCCCCCACACTGTAGCAGATCCTCCAGCCTTCACTGAGGCTGGCCGGCTTCCCAGCTGAGTTACCTGCAAGGTGAACACCCCCCTCTCCCTCTAGCAAATTTTACTGCTTTGCGAAACAACTGTGTGTGCGTGCACACTGGCTTATGCTTTTAGGAGCCCCTGAAGTTTCTTCCAAAGCTCAGCGTCTCTCCCACTTTGCTCCTCCAACTCCAGGGCAACCACGACGCTGGCGCATGCGCAGTTTCAGGGCTGACGGGGGCTCCACGGGAAGCCTG